ATGTCTCCTTATTCTTTTTTATAAATTTATTATATCTCTTATGGATAGCATTTATCAATTCTTTTGGAAATTTCTTTAAATACCATTTTCTTATTTCTGCATTTTGTTCTGACAAATAGTCATTTTTTAGAAATTGAATATCTATTTTTCTCTCCTTTTCCAAAGTTAAAATATTAAAATTTTTATCATGGGTTGAAGAGTCTAAATCTATTTTTTAATAAACATGTATATGTATATTGCTGGTAGTTCTTTTAATCCTTGTATTTCTTTATTGTAAGATGCAAAACTTTCGTCTATAGAAGAGGCACAGTAACATCTCAGGGAGGAAGTAGAGTGCCTGGCTGGTACAGGCTTTCTTTCCTTGGATTGTATATTATGAATACTTTAAGTCCTAATGTATTACAAATAGATACCAAGGGTCACACAATATTCTTCCAAACCAACATAGATAAATCTAATACTGTTATCGCTAGATGAATTAATTGGTCCCAAATCATTCTCCCACAAAATTGGTCTATTACAAATGAAAATAAGCAATATAGGAATCAGATACAACAAAATCCAGACCAAATAATAGAACACTTTGATGGGGAAATTGAGATCCAGTTTAATTCTCGAAGAAAAACCAATATAAATATATCAGATATACAATCCAGGGAAAGAAAGCCTGTACCAGCTAGGCACTCTACTTTTCCCTGAGACGTTACTCTACCTCTTCTATAGACGAAAGTTCTGCATCTTACAATAAAGAAATACAAGGATTAAAAAGAACTACCAGCAATATACATATACCTGTTTATAAAACAAATAGATTTAGACTCTTCAACCCCTGATAAAAATTTTAATATTTTAACTTTGGAAAAGGAGAGAAAAATAGATATTCAATTTCTAAAAAATAACTATTTGTCAGAACAGAATGCAGAAATAAGAAAATGGTATTTAAAGAAATTTCCAAAAGAATTGATAAATGCTATCCATAAGAGATATAATAAATTTATAAAAAAGAATAAGGAGACAATAAGTTAAGGAGACAATAGGATTTTTTGAATGGTTAAAATTTACACTAAAAGAAAAAAATGTTGCTATCCCAAATTTTGAGATAAATACTTTAGAAACCCAATATCAAACTTATAGTACTATTGAAGGAGGGGATATAAGAAGTATACATCCACCTGAGAAAAATCTCCAAATCAAAGGAATACAAAAAGATAAAGTAGTAAAAGCAGTCCCTTATAAACTAGCCCCTAACGAGCATAAGTTAGACCTAATACCCCATATCATAGAACAAAACAATTATACTAACTTATACTTACAATCTATAGGAAAACAAACAACTAGATTAGAAAATATTGTAAGACAACCCCAAGAAAAAATAGAAGAAAAGAAAAAAGCCATACTCTTTAAACCACCTCCAGAAATAAATAATGAAAGGTTTAATTTAAGAAAAAAAGAAAAGAATAAAGAATTAATGGACCAATTAATACAAAAGTTATCCCAGCTCGACATAAAAGACAAATCAAAAGGTAAAAGGATAGTTTTAGAATCAGAGGCTATGGTCATCCAAGAAGAAAAAACTATTACAAATATAGAAAATGCTTTTAAGGAAGATATAGATAAAATGAATATTAATCGAATAGATTATGGAAGAAAATGTCCTACTAGAATGTATCATACTAGGCCTACCCCTGTAGATATCCAATTTGAAGAAGATTTAATATCTCATACAGTATCTTATTCAGGACGAACCATTGTAAATTGGAATATGATGGTATGTCAGACCATCAAATACTAGATACAATGAAACATATGACTATGTATGCATCAGCTTGTAAAATAGCTGGTAATCATGATTAGGAAGTCGCATTGTCTGTGGATTTACAGGATGGCTAAGAGGTTGGTGGGACTTCCATATGAATGAAAGCACCAAAAACCAAATACTTACTGCAACCAAACAATGGGTTGTAAAAAATGAACAAAATCAGGATATCCCTTATAGTGAAAGTGATGCAGTAAATACTCTAATATATACAATCACTCTTCACTTTGTAGGAAGCACATCCTTATTAGAAGCAAGATCAGAAGATCTACTTTCTAACTTAAAATGTCCTACTCTATCTCATTATAAATGGTATAAAGATGTCTTCTTCTCTAGACTCCTTACTAGAGAAGATAGCAGTGTAGACCACTAGAAGGAAAAATTCATCACTGGTTTACCATATTTGTTT